AACAGTGTATACATACTTTTGGGACACCCTGTATATGAATCTCCAACCCATGTTCGTAAAGGAAAGATTCGTACCATTGAATAGCCCTTTGTTCCTTTCCCTTGCCAAATATGCCGAGGTCTCTGAAGTTTCCGAGGCAGACAAGAAAAGTGTAACAGAAGTTGTATGACCACCATCTAAAATGGTAGCAAAGGATATGTGAAAGCACCATAAGAAGAGATTGAAACGGCCAAACATTTGTCACATTGTCAGGACATGCTATAGGTATTCATTTTCTTTATTTTTGGAACTCGTGCGGAATGAGAAGCAGTGTCTCATATAAAACCAAGAAAACATTTGTACACTCGTTAGGCTTTTTTAGAGCAGCAAGACAAATATAAGTTCTTTGAAAAATTATAATTTGAATCTTTTTTGGTGCTGTCACCTTCTATAATCAATTCTTTTATGCTAAAGTTAGCAAAAAGACGCATGTGTCGGGACATTAATCACATTTCTTTCACGCAAACCCACTAATAATAGCAAAAAGGCAAACAATTTATGGTGTTTTTGCAGAAAAGCTGTCGTATGTCCGGTTATTGACGTAATAAACGATCGTACATTTCAATACCAAAAAGGAATTGACATGTTTCGCGGTGGTTTCAACTGGAACCTTCAGTTCAGGTACGGTGACTCTGCAAAAACCCAAAAGAGATTCGGATAATTTGTGCAAACGTTTTGCGCGTCTTTTTTTGCAGATGGTACGCAATGCCGACCGAAATGGCTAAACAACGACTACAGGATCCGAGCTCACCTATACCGTAAGCGCTCTTTCGCGGGAGTGAGATTACTAACGGCGCGTAATGGATTTTCGTTCTTTTTACAGATCACCAACGATGGCTGGCGGCCTGTTTAGTATAGATCGCCATTATTTTGAAGAACTTGGAACGTACGATCATGGAATGGATATTTGGGGTGGCGAGAATCTGGAAATATCTTTTCGAGTGAGCCACTTTTCGGCTTATCTAAAAATGCTTATTGATTTATAGTTCTGAAAAACAACATCTTCGAAAATGTATTTCAAGCTGATTTTTTACACAACGAGTGAGTAAGGGTGTAAAAATTAGAGACCATGGTGCTCCAATATCAGGCAAATTCAACTCATAAAGGTTTTGATAAGGGCACTGTCAGAAAAAAAAACCGTGACAAGGCAAATAAGTCTCCAGCAAAAAGTAAATGTCTTTAAGAAGAAGAAACGGCTAGAAGCTAATCAATCGATAAATATTCGAAAAATTAGTTTCTAGTGTTTGTAAAATTATATAAAGAAGCCAATAATTTTAGAAATTTATCCACGTTTTGTGTATAATCTCTAGTACATTTTGTTTTTCATTTACTGTAAATAATACTATAACATTTGGCTCCATCTTATCTAAGATTATCTTAAAGGGTTTTCTTTCTTCATCATTGGGTTACTAGCGGGAAAAACACAAGATAAAAAATATC